TCTGCTCTTTTCTTCTACCGGGAACTTCCTCCTCTGGAACGATCAGATCCTGGACTATTTTCTGTCTCTCAAAAATACCGGACGACGGAGTGTTAAGGTAGTGAAACAGCCAATCACTGCTCTTGAATGGACAGTATTTTATCTGCCCAAAACAGTAATTAAATTCCGTGTTCCCTTTTACCGTTTCACGCGTGAACAAAGGTATGTTCTTTGACAATGACAACGATCTTTATTACTCTTTTTTGTACTAGCAAATGCAGATCCACACGTTTGAACGTACCAAAGTTAAAATTTGCAAACTTTTAAAGTACTAAAGCTTGGATTAACAAACCTCTTGAAACTGTTGCAAACGTATGAATGTAACAAAATTAAAAATTCCAGATCTATGGTTAGAAGCAATTTCAGATAGTCAAAAACGTTTGAACATATAAAATTTGAAACTAACATATCCCTTCAAACGTACGAACGTAGAGAAATAAAAAATTGCAGATCTATATTCGGCTACTCGAAACGACAGGGGATTCAAGGCGATTCGGGCGACGTTTTCGGACCGAAAATTTGGTGAATGCGCTGTTTTTCGGGAACCAGACTCTTGGCACGATCCGAGGGGATGACATAATTTAGAGCGAATCGCGTTTTTCGGGGGCCGTTAGTTTTGGTGTCAAGTTCGTCGCAGAAACGCGCGCCACGCTTTGCCAAGCCGTCTCCTCGGCGATATCGTGCTTAATCGTGCACGAGGCACGGGTTTATCGTTCCAACTCGACCGAACAGATGTTTTATGCTCGAAATTCAGATTACGTCGCCATTTTCGCGGCCTTTTTGCTGAACGACGTTGATCGCTTCGCGGAAAGTGAACAATCGGAATTGGGATAAAAAGCATGTACACAAAGTACGTATTGCAAGACTCTGGGAAAACCTGTTTAAACGTTAGATCAAGGAGGAAAATTCTATCGAAAATATAGAAGAAAGTTGATTCACAGTCTCACAATTGGACAAGATGTGATTTTATTTCATGCACCGAGTCAGAGATCCGTTGGTTTAGATCGAGTTAGGGTAGGAATGGAAACTGTTGTCGGTACTTTAATGAGCCAATATCAAGGAAAACGTCGTTATAATCAACCAGCCCTGACACAGTAATATGTTGACGCAATCTGTGCGTCGCTGGATTATAAAGTAGGATGCCCCCTTCGAGCCTGCTCGTAATAAATTTCCTGTTTACCGAGAGATAAGGAACGCACAATGAGTTTCCCCGAAAATTAGACAGTTAACAGTGCGGGCTGTCCCGGGTGGCCTTTCCAAAAGCGACACCGTTAAAACGTTGTTTAATTCATGCGCGCGATAACCGTAAACGCCAAATTGTTTTATGAATTACGTTATCTGGTTTACTACGCCGCTTATCGAGAACTCTTGGTTGCTCAATATTCGCTTAATCTTAATTGACTTGGTCGGACAACTGCTAGGCCCCTTTTGCCTTCCTCCAACCTCCTTGCAAACAGTCGTAAAAGGATCTCGTTGAACCTCTGCGTCTGATCTAATTCGACTTGGTACAATGAAGTCGTTTCGGGAGATTCAGAGAACGTCACTCGTCATAGGTGGCCCAATAAGATGTTTAGGAGGTTGATTAATAATGATAATATATCGTTCTACTTGTTCAATAAATGTCACGAACGTATTTGAAGAAGTTTGGAACGATAGGCACGAGATTTGTTATTTAAACCAAGTCAGCGCTTATTAATTACTACGAACACAACGTTACTGACGCAGGACTGGTCAAGTGTCATTTATTATGCAGTCTTATTGAAAATTGAATCTCTTGAAAACAAAAGTAAAGGAAATACGACTATCATTAGCGACGAGGATGTGGATTGCCTTGAACTACGACTACTCTGGACGACACGTGTCTCTTACATCGAGACAGAAATTACAATTCAGATGAGAAATACTAATGAGAATTTCTCAGAAGTTAAATCGATCAACTATTTTTCTGTAAATATCGTAAATTAGGCAAGTATTTATTCTCGTTCCTGTATAAGTGCAAGTAACAAGAACTGAAGGAAACGCGTTTAGGTCCACCTGTACGTTTAGTTCCTCGATCACTTCTCTATCCCGGTGTCTTTTGAAAGTTTTGAACTGTATCTTTGAACGTTTTCGACAGTTTCCGTCACTCCTGCTCTTGTATATTAACGAGGAAGGATAAATACTTGACCTCTGTATAAATGAAATTGTAACTGCAATTGCAAAATTTGTGCCAGACAGAAACATCAAGTAAAAACGCGGGACGAGGTAGCGGATGGTGTCGTCTCCGTGGGGCGATTTTTCCCCGACTGGTTGTAGAAGTTTCGTGATCCGGAGGTCTCTCGAGGTCCCGTAGGACCGGTTCGGTATACAATACACTCGAAGTCTCGCGAGATCGAAGACGAGAGAGGTGGCTCTCTTCGTTATCGGAGCCGTAAAGAGAACAGAGAGGAGCCACAAGTGGGTTGCGGTGCAACTAGCCAGACCCGACGCGGAATTGGCCTTCTTGCGCGTTGTTCGCCCGGGAAGGTTTACGGAGCACTCGAGCGGGCTGCGTCGAGGCTGAGCCACTCGAAACGCGATCAAAGGGTGCATTCATAATCTGCAACGTATCGCGGTTTCGCCCCGCGCTGCTTTTGTAAACATCGAGCGTTAACGGCGCAGTTCCGCGGCGCGTGCTAAGAAGATGTATCCAGAGATGCCAGACGAAGCCCCGGATGCACCTCATTCGACAAAGGCAAACTGACACACATCCTCTTTTTCAATTCTCCAAAGCTGCCCCAAGTAATTTTGGATCGTGGGAGCCGAGAGAGGAAGGCTCACATTTGCCTTCTCGCTCTTGAACAATTGAAATCCGACCTTACATCAGGCATTTTTACTTTTCGACCTATGTATCATGTCAGTAGTAGTCAGCAGAGGCCAGCAATAGCCAGTAGCTGTGTTATATGTTGTCACCAGTAGCTAGCAGAGGCAAGCAGAGACCAGCAGAGGTTAGTAGGGACCAGCAATAGCCAGTAGCTGTGGTTATGTGTTGTTAGCAATTGTCAGGAGACGCCTGCTGTTGTCAGCAGTGGTCAGCAATAGCTAGTAGCTGTCGTTATATGTTGTCAACAGTTGTCAGGAGTCCTGTGCTGTTGTTAGTGATCAGCAGGGGCCAGAAGAGGCAAGCAGAGGTCAGCAGGGCCCAGTGAAATTACTCGGGGCAGCTTTGGAGGGTCCAAAAAGAGGGCATGTGTCAGTTTGCCTTTGTCGACTCTTCGAAACTCTACGAGCTCACGTACGCGTGATCTGACCCAGTGTGAGAAAGTGGAGTGAGGTGTCCCCGTTGCACCCGGTGCACCTGAGTTAGGTGTGGATGTATCTTCCATCAGCCGTGCGGGGCGTGTATTACGGAAAATACGCTTTGAAACGCGCCAGGGACTGAGGAGGGAAACGCGGAGGGGTAGGACGAAGTTTCTGAAGCCGACTCGGTTTGGCGAAGGCGTTGATGCGCCGCTCGTTAGGCGCTGTTAGCCGCCTTGCGACGGTATTATCTTATCGGTGTTTACGAAAGCGTCGGAGACGTACGACGTCCTCGCGCTCGGAGAGAAATCTTAGACGCCGAATGCACAAACTCGACCGACGACGCTCGCTATTATGGATTTGCACGCTGCGTTCACTGTTTCCAATGGAACGATACCGATAACGCCCGCGACTTGGCATTAATTCGAATCGGTGACTTCCTTTGGGCCTATCTTAACTTTCCAGGCGTGGAAGTTGGATACGATTCACTTTTTAACGAAGGAGAGATTGCTATTGGAAATTGATTTTTACACTAAACTTTGTCTTTAGAAGAAACTGCCGGAAAGAAGAAAGGTCAGTGACGAAAAATGGTCCTATCCATTGTCTAAATAAGCCCAGGATAAGGAAGAAACACTGCACCTTCTTGACTTGTGTCTTGAAAAATGAAACTTTGAATTTTTGAATTTTTGTAAATGAAAGAAAACTTTCTCTTTTCGAAAGAGACAAACCAACAATAGCTATAATCTAAACATATAGAGGAATGATTCTTAAAATGAACCCTAGACGCGATTCGTAAGTTGAACTAGGAGGATCACCCTTGACATTCTGTATTTTGTTACAAAATGAAGTCCATCATCCATAATGTGCCAACTTTCATAAGATACTTATCCATTAGAGGATTAGAGTGATTGACTAGGGATTGTAATTTCATCGAGGTGCAAAATTTAGTTCTAGGAAACGCCTCGAGGTATGTTTAGAGTAGACTTCAAAATTGATAGACACCATTGTTGCAGTTTCTACTGGGCGGCCATCCTCAGATGCAGACATCTGTCCCGGAAGTTCCCTTCGAACGCTTCAGCGATCAAAGAGGCGGAGGATGGATAAAAGACACAGGTCTAGCGCAGAAGAGATTTGAAATTTGCAGAAACTATTTAAACACAGAAATAATAATACGATCTTTGAGTCATAGTCGCTTTGTTTTAAGAATTCTCGATGGAAACTATGTCAGCGTGACCGATTCGAGATATTTATAATTAACGTTTGGTATCTTGACCATGATCGTGCTGTTTGTAAATACTTTCGTAATATTTTATGAATCATTCCTATCCGTTCCTGATATAAGCAATGATTATTGAAACTTTCTAACTCCGGCAAAGTATACCTCTTCTTTCGTACTTAAATATTTGTTTAATGTAAACTCGAAAATGCAATCTTATGAACCTTGAGCTGCCATAGGCTCATATCTGCTCCGAAAGCTTTTAAGTTTGCTTCGTTACGACCATTAGTCCAAATTGTATTTGCCATTGTGGTGCACCTTGTACAGAGATTTAGGATAAAATATTATTCGATCTCTACAGGCTCATAAATATTTACGACTGCAGTTTATAGGATTTCGTATTCGACGTATAGCTTGAATCAGCAGCCTAAGCAACGTTATGCACGGACCACGTTACAATCTATCGAGAAATTGTTAAGATACTCACCCCGTAGTATGTAATTTTGGTAATTCTGGTCAGCCTCGCTGCCAACCTTGATGAGGCAGGCAAGCCCGTCATTTTGCACAAACTCATGCACCAGGTCCTTGTCCTCCTGCAAAACCAAAGTTTATGGTAAATAGCGCCGGCTGCGAAATAGATACCTGCTACATCGTCGCGCGCGTATAATTTATTCCCCGGCGAATGGAGACTCCTAATCGATCGTTTGACGTTTCCAAATTTATGGCCATCTCGAAATTTGAAATGCTAAAACGTTTCGCGGCTCGGTCACGGGCGCACGATCGATAAATAAAATACTCTTCGAGCATCGTCGTGTTTACCGATGGCTATTATATCAGGGGGGAGGGCCAGGAATTTATTGTCCTTTCTTTCGGTGTTCGTGTTTGCTTGAATTGCATCCAGTCTGTTTATTTTACACTCGTGGATCGTGTCAGAAAAAAATTCGACGAGTTAGACTGTTATTTGAAGGAACATGGTTCGACAGAATTCAAACCAGCTAAATTCGTACGGTAATTAACACTAGATTTCCCAAGGAAGTCATTTTGACTGCTTTTTAATTTCAATTAGAAAAACAGTTATGTATATAATGACACAATTTCTTAGAATTTTGTGACTTTTTGCACAACATATAAATGCGTTTATTAATAATTGTCGTTACCTCCCCCTTCCTTCATTTCTGGTATATATATGTGTGTTATACCTATATTGCCCAAAAGCAGTCATTTTGACTGCTTGGGAAATTTTTAATAATCAAATGACTCTTATTGAATTGAGTTTTCTTATATGACCAGTTCAGCTCTGTCAGAAAAATATTTGACGAGTTAGACTGTTATTTGAAGAACCATGGTTCGACAAAATTCAGACGCGGATTGTGACCATCGTGCAAGACTTTCCTAAATTCGTACGGTAATTAAGGAAGTACGTATTCGCGAAAATGGGTGCGGGTTTTCCTCGACTTCGACGGTGGAATCGTATTAGTTTGACCACGTCTGTAAGTCGGTTACCGAAGGAACTCGTGACCATTTCCGAACACGACGTTCCTCGTCGTCGTTTCGAACGAGAACCGTCCAAGAAAGAACGAAACGCGTCACGTCCAGCAGAAACAAGCGGAAAGCCGATTACCGAGATCATCGGTTCCCCGACGTTCCGCTGGAAACGAACGTGGATAGGAGGAACGGGACGAGCGGAGTCGCTGATATCCGATCCCGGAGGAGCTCGCGGAGACGCGCGATTTATCTCGACGCTTCCACCTAAGCCAGCCGGAGGCCGGAAGAGGTAAATGGAATTAGTTATGCCGCTCCGGGCGCGAAGTCGCGGACATAATGGAAAATCTACCAAGTTTGATTAAACCCGCTCGTTTCCAGCGCGATGTTCGCGCGCGGCCCTTCGAACGCCCGTTGTTCCCGTAAAATAATAAATTTAACACGGACGAATCGTCGCGACAGACAAATCATCTCACCACCTATTTCCATCGAACTTCCTATTTTAAAGACATTTTCATAAATATGTTAAAAGATCAGAGATCAAAGATCTTGGAATATTTTCCACGGGACGAATTATTTCGAAATTTTTCTAACAGTAGAATATTTAATTTTTTTTATAGCAAGTAAACGAAGAGATCGAAGTGTTTTGAAAAAGTGTGAAAAATGAATTTTTGTTGGCTACTGAGTGTATTGAATATCAAAGAAATATAAGTAGCTAAAATGATTAAAATCAATGATGGATGAAAAGGGAATATTGAGATTTAAAATTGTGTATGCGATAAGAAGCTCGTTCGTGGCCTGGGCTCCTATGTGTAATCGAAATGGCGGAAGTTTACGCGAGATTTGAGCGCGGAATGTAGAGCCGATTAGCCCCGTCGGATTAAGAAACGAAATTGAACGTTGCTGCGACGATTTCCTGATAAATCCCGCCGACGATGGAGAGAGATTACGTTAGGGAACGAGGACCGGGTTGAACCACGGAGGGTCGAGGATCGGAGCTTGTAATTAATTTCGTAGCTAGCCCCGCTGATAATTGAAACGATAAGGTATCGCTCGAAGGAAGAATTCGAGGATTGTTTTCGGCGGACTTGTGCCCTTTGCCGTCCGATATAACGCACCAAACAGCAAACCAGCCGCTTATCTTTGCAATCGAGACGCAAGGAATCGCGGAAAGTATTTGATTATTATAAAAATTTTCGTGAAATTAACTGGCTCTGACATGTCTGCCCAATGCACACTGTTTCTACTTGTCCTGAATTTCAAGTCGCGCTCCACAGTAAATGATTCTCAAAATGAACACCAACGGTGATTCGTAAATTGAACATTTCTATGCCTCTCAATCTAGGGATTTAATTAAAAGATTCGAATCTTCTAATCAACATTTTTTTGAACCAACTGCTGATCCTCGAGTTACTGTATGCACGTTCTTTAGAACACTATATCGGCGTTATGAACAGCCACCGCCGCGTTTCAAATGAAATTCACGTGAGAAAAGTACAGTAATGTCTTTCGGGTTGAGATAAATTTTCTCCCCGGGTTGAGACAAAGTTATCTCCCCGCTTCTTGAAACTGCTGGCTGCTGGAGTTTCGAGCGTTATCTCCGATACGCGACCGACGGTGTCTCGGGTTACTAATGCGCGAATTACCAAAGTGGAACGGTAAAAGTTATTTTTCGTTTTAGATTTGCAATCACGATCGAATAATTTGCAAAATTTCGGTGTTTCGGAGTCCTTGGGCCAAGATAGAATCGATTAGAATTCGATGACGAAGCACCGGAGACTCTAATCAGACTAAAATGGGCTCTAATGAATTTGGTAACGTGCATCAACGTTTAGCAATGATTGGAAACGTATCAAGTGTTGGGAAATGGATTCCGTATGAACTGTCAGTCGCGAACTGTATCCAACGTGTGAATATTCATTCCTCGTTGCGAAACTGGCAAAGCACCCATTTTCCAAACCAAATTATTACCGGTGATGAGAAGCACGTTCTGTACAACAATTCGAAACACGAACTACGCTATGTCTAAGACCGGAACAAGATGTCACTGAACGTATAAAAGAACTTAATAATTTATTTTAAAGTAAATCAGTATCGAATTACAACAGGAAAAGATGAATTAGGAGATTCGATGGGATTCGTTTTCATTATTATAACGCTGAACCGACGGATAAAATGGCGCTGGAAAAAGTGGAGGTTATTGGGAGTTGATAACGCGTCCGCCATATTTTATCGGCTTTCCAACTACCATTTATTCCGAGTGTAGCAAAATCTTTTAATTAATAAAGAGTTCAACGGTACTCGTTCAAAGTTGGTAATGGAAAAGTTTCTCTATCCAATAAACCAGTCATTATTAGTCGACTATTATTCCATATTTTTTTTTCAAATTTTTCACAGTATTTTCATAATTGATACCATCCATTTCACTATTATCATCCTTATTACGATTAATTAAATTAGTAATAGTGAAATATCGTTTGCCTAATACGCTTACAATACGTTTAACGGATAACATTACTCGATGCGACGAGTAACAGGGTTAGCGTGAAGAATCCGGTAAACAGATTATCGACCATCGCGTTTGACTCCCGACCCCATTCATCACGTTTCTAATATAATTCTACAATAAACTCATCCATCACTTAGGAGCAACGACAGCTTCCGGTATAATAGGATTTCTTTCGCCGTGCAGTTTTCAACTTCGAACGAACGCCACGGGAAAGGACTTTTTCTCGCTCGGCTAATTGCGTGATTTAATTGTGTGGAAGAAAAAGAACGGTGAAAGCTCGGCCATGAATAAATACGCTCCTGCGGCGCGAGTTTGCTCCTCGTTTCGCGAGCAAACAAGAAACAAAAGCCACTTTTGCCCCGACAAAACTTGAAACGGATCGAGCGCTCGCGGTCAAATTCATTCTATTCATCGCCGAAAACGACGACGCGCGGACAGCGACCGTGTTTTCTCAAGTTATTGTTCCCGGATTCGGGAGTTCCGTCTCAAAATCCTCGACGATCATGAAATAATTTAATCTTGTTCAAAATTATTAATGAACTGATTGGTGGTTGGCAGTATTTATTAAAAATTACTTGCACTTTTAGCAAGCATGTCTCGTTCTCTAAATTCGGGGATACTAGGGTAATGATTCTTAAAATGATCATGTGATTCGTAAGTTGAACATTTCTATTCCTCTCAACAATGAAGCTCAACGATATCGATGTGTACAAGTATCCGTTGGTGTCGAAGTTAGGCTCCGCTGTACGATGTTCATTTTACGAATCACTGCTGCTAACAAATGTTTTGTGCCTCTTGATTTTTGTAACATGTCCTTCGAGAAATTACGCTTCGTAATTTTATAATTTACAGGCAGGATGAACTAAAATATTTACCCGCGAATAAATGAAAATTTGTTCTTGGGAACGCGTATCCTCCCCTAGCGTACGTGTCGCGTGTGAATATTCTGAGCTGTCGCGCGCAATGCCGGCGAAAATTATTGGAATGCAACGTGCACGCGTCGAGGAATAACGAATTTGCGAGACAAAGGGCCGCGGTTATCGAGATAACAAGGATAGAAAGGGACGAGGCTGGAGGATCTAGACTCGGGGGTGAGACCGAAGGAAGGAGAAAATGCACTCGCTCGAATCGCCATGCAAATATTTACTCGTCGAGCGAGTAGCTTCGCGTAAAAATAGCCTCTTCCCCGTCTCTGACTCTTTCACCCTCTGTTTCTCTCTCTCGCTCGTGGCATTTTCCTTCATGCTATCCTCTCTGGTACCCTTCCCCCCGACCCTCCTCCTATCATTCACTCTATCGTGGCCTTCCTATCGTTGTCCCGTTCGCGCACGTTTCTCTCGGGATCCCGCAGGTATCGCGAATTGTAAACTCACCTGAAAGATCTGCTTGAGGGAGAAGAGAGCTCGTCGCAGCTCGCGGCCCTCGCTGTTCAGCAATTTTTCTGCAACAGACAAGTAACACGCAACCATTTATTATAATAATACCAAACGGCCGCGGCGCATTGTTCGGTCCCGGGGTCCGATGGAACCCCGGACGAGCGGACTCCCCTTTTTATTAAGCTATCCCTCCCTCGCGCCTTTTTCGAACAAGGATACTCCAAGGTTCGCGTCGCCAACGAGACACGGTCCCGTTTATGGCTGGGTTTCATTATTATCGCCGCGGTGATTACACGCTGGATGTACGAGGACTGCTCTCGATGAGCCAGGATGCAAACGAGAGCCAGGCCACTGTTGAATCCATGATTTTTACAACTTTGGTCACCTCTGGTCCTTTAACGCGTTCACAATCATTTTCACGGTTATTAAAAATTTTTCTTAGTAGCTATTTTCTCAGCTAAAATTCAGGAATCCTATTCAAAATTTGACGTTTCAGATTGGAAATTAATTCTGCTGGTTCTATGGTGAAAAGTCCTGTCACTCACACGTGTTAAAATGAATCGTTTTTGAAGCCACGAATTTTAAAATTTACAGTGGGAGTCTTTAAGCTAAACATACATAGGATTAGAATTTTAAATCTGAGAAAGGTATTAACCCCTTAACGTTCATGCCCGAGTCTGACTGCTTCGAAAACAATATTTGTTTAGTTCAACGGTTTAAGGGATGATAATATTTGTTTTTCTTGAAATTACACGTTAGATACAACATTGTAATTAACAAAAACCGTATTTTTAGAAAGAAATCCAATAAAGAAAACTGATCATTGTTGGTTGACCCGAAAAATATGAGCGTTAAGGGGTTACATGGTAGATTCCAGAAAAGGATATCATCCAACAGAAAACTAAAAGATTCTCAACCTTTATAAATTTAATTGTCGTCATTACCAGACTGATTTAACCCTTCAGTGAACTCTCAATCTCAATTCTTTTACTTAATGTTGATTTTTACCAAATTGTTAAATGGAAATCAATTTTCCTTCAAAACATTTAAAAAATAATGACCCAATGGAGGATTACATAAATTTTCAAATAATTACAGTAACATATATAAAACAATTATTAGTTAAACTTGTGGAGAACTGTAGCAGCCCCAATAATCCACTTAAGGGTTAAAAAATGTTGACTACTTTGATAAAAATAGTCTTTTCTCTTTCTTTCTCGAATACACAGCGGAAGTGATAACACTGACGGGTGAAATACCAAGCAGAACAAAAGGGCGTCCGTTTTCGGGGACGTAATTGAAACTCCAAACACAATTAAGAAAGAAGCTCCTGCAAGAAGGATTGTGTTTGAAGAAAAGCTGGATGGTATCGAGCATGTTCTCCCTATAGATCAAGAGAACTACTCCCATTGTACGAACTACTCTCATCAAACGTAAAGTGCACTTATGCTTATCGGGAGAAAAATTATTTTCTACCACGAACCCGTAGTAATTGGGGTTTCTTGTAATAAATTTCTTTAATTAACCGCGTTCGTTATTCCTGCGGCGAAACGAATGTATCTTAGACGTTTGTATACAGCGATTGTTCAATAATTTGCTTACAATGTGCTGAATTTAGCTCACAATATAAAACACAAATATTACAAAATATTATGCAGTCTACGCTTATGAAATTCGATAATCGTGATACTGGAAACATATTTTTCTTCGACCTGAGTTTAGTCAATAAAATTATGATCATAAACGGTATATTTAATTATTCTCGTATAACGGAAATATCATCGAAGAATATATTATTGAGTGCAAAAAAATCGTAAGTTGCTCCAGCGACAGCGTAGAAAATAGATGCGCCTGGTCGTTTCGATAAATTCCCATTCCCATTAAAGTTCTCAATTTATTATAACGTCGCAGCGTAGTCGGGCTAGTATGCATTACAGAAATGTCACAGTACGGTTTGCTGTTATTTTCAGATTATTCGGTTCAAATATAGGATACTTAATTATACAAATACGTCATCGGTGAACCGCAAAAACCGAATCCTAGAAATCGCACAAACACGAAACGCGACCGTTATATCATTAATTTAAAATAACGGGAAATCAGTTAGCGCAGGATCAAGATTGATCTATTCTCTGGCTCTGTACGCTACATCCGTGCTGTGTGAACCAAGTGAAATCGCGCTTACAAAGGAAGGATTCAACTTGTCCTCCGATTTCAACGTGATGTTACAGGGTGGCAGAGCGCAGGTTCTATATTCGATATCGACATTTAAGAAACACACGATTTGGACTAGAAATCTAAGAATTTAAAAGCAATTAATATTAAGATTGTTAATCGTGATAAGGAAATTTTTATATAATTTTATATTATATTACAACTCTGCAAATGGCATAAATAAAAATCTTTATCCCAAAAGTATACTGAATTTTATATATTTTTGCATGTTAGAGAAGCTTGAAGAAATATGACTAACAGTCCGGTACATTTGCACATAAATAAATAGCGTCAATTACGAGATAATTCCTGGTATGACGTAGATGGCTTTAAATACGCTTTTCTTCTAATCAATTTCATTTGCAGCCGCAATAATGGTACCGAATGGCACCAACGGTAATCATGCATGCATCAAAGAATGGAAACATTCGGTAAATGGTCCGAACGTACCATTCATCTTCAACGAATGGAAGAATACTTTTGACAGCAGGTTTCCAGATGCCGTTACCGAATACTCTACGAGAACGTGCTACTTTTATCAACGAGTATACCATTAGATCGGTCCCATCATTATCTAGAAACGTCTATTTATTGTTAGTTTCAGTCCGATTCTCTTTCCTCCTCTCCCACATTAGACGCTGATGACGTCCCTCTATCGTTTAACGACTTTTTGTTAAATCGTCAAACGAACTGTCTCGGGTTTCTTACGTTCTAACGGTGTCTCGAAAGTACCTCAACCGCCTGCGTTCAAAGCTGCTGCAGCGAACAAGCCACAAGCCACCCGGAAGTTCGCTCGGCGTAGGAAGATCAGGAACAGCTAAGCACTGGCACTGCTTTTGTTTCTGACGTTAGACCTTGTCGACACCGCCATAGGAACTCGTTAATTATCAGCCGAGACTTTACGTCCGATTACATTACACGCCAGACTTCCGAGAACGCTTTCCATCTTTTAAAACGATTGTAAATGCTAAAAAAGTACAACTAAAACTCTGTAATACTCTTATATGCAGTAGAATTGAAATCGATGTTCGAAAGACAGAGTGTACAATTCGTTGGTTACTTGATAAATTATTTAGAAATTAGTAAATATATATTCGCTAATAATATAAACGTTCCAGATCGAATTAACGATTGAAGAGTCCGAGGTATTCGTACGAGAAAACCGAGAGGGAGGATACGAGGAACGTCGATTCAAGTTAATCACCGATCGATCCAGCTTAAATGATCTGGAATTTCGTAAGGAAATCCACAGTCGACGATTTCATATAGGGGGATAATAACTCTCCGTCCCATTTTTCTCCGCTAAGATCATTTATCGGCGCTAATTAGAGGAAAACCGGTAATTAAGTCCGCGATTAATTTTACACGACGAATTTTCGTCGGTTGGCATTCACCGTTACGCTTCTATTATTCCCGGTCCCTTTCCTCCCGGTTTCTGTTCCATCCGTCTCTCTCTCTTTCTTTCTTTCCCTCGTTCTATCATTCTTTTTCAATCGCGGCTCGACTGTATTACTAATAATTGAATTCCATTTCACCAGCGGCGCACTAAATTCAATTTCCCGAGGCTCAGCGGTCGCGTCGAGATTTTCCAGCCTGCTGGAAATTCAGAGAAGGAGAGAAACGGAGAACAGGGCGCAGGAGAAAGATAGACGGACCGTTACTCGACATTCGCCCAGCGAAAAATCGGAAAATGCATTATCGCCGGGAACTCGAAGAAGTGCGCGCGAAACGTCGCGTCGTTAAATAAGGGAAAGAAAACCGGAAACCGTCCGGAGTCAATTTTACGCGACACATCGATAGAGGAGTTCCGATCGTGCTTCTGAATACACGCTCGATCGAGCATCGAGCCCTTTGAATGTTGGTAATTGCTTCGTAACGGTGTCAATGGAGGCGAACAATTTCGTTTCTAATTCATTGAACATTGTGCTGAAACTGGACCAGAGTCCGTTCCGGCTGTCGCGTCGTGAATTTGGCGAATTCTGCTGTAAGCCTTTGGAAAAATCCATCTTCTTTTACGTCCTCCTGAAGAATATGTTTTGATCCTACTTTCAGTCCGCGAAAATGGTAAAAAATATTCTTAAAATCGACTCTTTCTTTTTATCTTAGTCTCTGCTACAAACTAATTTTAATTAATTCTAAATATGCACAATGGCGAATTATTAAAAATTCTGATAGAAAGAGTATTATAGCATTTGCCCAAAAACGATTTCTATAACCGTTAATCCATACGATTTCTAATTACGTATAATTTCATGGCCACTAATCTTGAACCTTGAACGTGCTCAATGATTTGAAATTAAGATCTGTTTTATATCAACCGTGAGCTGTTCGTGTAATTAAGATAAACGAAATCATAAAACGTTTTCGATATCAAATTCAAGATATGCGCGACAGAAGAAACAGCCACCGTTTCCGTTCTTCGAAATGCCTTTTATTTCTTGCGAGAGAATTTTATTTCATCCGCGATAGTAATGCGCTGTATAGAAGCAATTTGACGAAAGACGAATGTCATTTTCATTTTACTGGTCTTCGGGAAGCCACATGGCGACGCATGCGAACGATCGACGATGACTTTATAAATTATTAAGTGGACGCGACTAACTGCGAAAAGGCCGAAAAAATTTCATGATTGTCGATTCAGCGTTCTGCTCAGAATATATCGTACGGTACGTGGACCGAAATGATGACGATAAAATAACGAGATGTATATTCGACTTCCGTTACGATAAATCGAATCGTCGCCGGGATTGGTCACGCGCGAGGGGAAACCGTAAAACAACCAAAAACTTATCGTCGAATCTATGGAACGACTGTAAGACTGCAGACTTTCGCGCAATATAAATTTAAATGC